AATGGATATTTTACCCACTACAAACTACCAAGCAGTCGTATTGATTCGAGTCTCCTGTCCTCCATCCCTCCACTATCCGACTGCGATTTTGATCTCTCCCCAAATACCCATTATACAAATGTGGCGTATGCAGGAGCCAGATCACACTCCCTGCAACTCCCTCGGCCCAAAGACAATAGATTTCACCAATCAACAGCGGACATCGGCCCTTTCACTCCTATCAACGCAACGAGCTCAAAGAGTGCATGGCATTGCCCAGTGGACGGCTGCTTTGTCATAGAGAGCGGCGGATCCGGCATCAAGACTCTGATGTGGCATATCAGAAATACCCACGTATATTCAAACGACGAAGTGGTGAAGAGCTTCATTTGTCCTGTCATGGGGTGCAAGCTTGCAGAGGAAGGGTGCTCGCGGTTAGACAACCTGATGAGACACATCCGGACAATCCATATAGATCGGGCCAAGACGGGCACTACCACCAGCGGTGGGCGACAGCAGCCGGACATGGAATGGTGGATGAAGTGATGGGAGCTGGACTTATAGCACTGATTTTTGTCTGCCAACAAAAATTGGGTTGAATAGAAGGATACGGGTTTAGGTACAATGGATGATGTGTCATGAATTTGTTTATTCCCCCCGTCGTTGTTACGAACCTGCTGTCCCGAAACGGTTGTCTATTTCTCTTTCTTATGTTCAACGTGATTGTTTCAGGATTTGTCTCGTGGCAATCACTGTCACCCACAGCCCATAGTCTAATTCCAACATTCTTCCCAGCCGTCAAACAACCGCCTGTGGCTTCCGTCCGTATATGGCCATCCTATCATCAAGTCAGCAAATGTCAACCCACTCCCACTCCTACTCCCCAACTGAGACCAAGACCGAAAAGAAAGGAATACCACCCACACAATATAATAAAAGTGAATATCCTTATTCCTCAAATTCCTCCGCACCTACACCAAAAACTCCTCCACCTCCTGCACACTCCACCCATACACCCTGGTAAACAACCCAATCGACATCCCATGCAGCCCATTCAGGATATTCGTCATCTGAATCAAGCCCAACACCTTCTCCGCCTTGCCCTTTGCCCACGGATTCCCCGGCAGCGCAAACTTCTTCTCCACCACGTCCACGAACCCAGCCTCCTCCATCTGGGCCTTGAACTTTGCCGCAGCGAGCCCGTTCTTGCCTAGTTTAGCGACCCCCTCGAGGAGCACCGTGTTCCACTTCTCGAGGTCGGTGCCCGCCAGGCTGCCATCGACGCACTGCAGTCTGACGTAGTAGTCCCGGAACTCGGCGTAGCCGCCGGGGACGAGGTTGGCGAAGGCAGAGGCAAAGACTTTGTGGAAGGAGCTAAAGGCGCCGCACATGAAGCGCGAGTGGATGTAGGAGAAGAGGGTGAAGACCCAGACGTCTTCGGCGTTGTCGATTTCGAAGTGGCAGTTAGGGGGGACCCTGGTTGAGGTATGAGCGGAGTTGCATCTGTCCGTGTGATGGGATGATACGCTTACTCGTTTGGCTGGATGGGGCTGAGGTCGGTGCCGACGACTTTACAGTCGGGGTACTTGATCGCGAACTCGATGGCCCAGATGCCGGTGCCTGGTATTGGGGAGGTAGCAATGCGTGTCAGCAGAGGGAGTACTCTATCTGAGTAGGTAACTGTGCGTGAGTATACCTCGCTATTGCAGGCGACAGGAAGAAAGCATATAATGGCAGCGCCCATCCGGTACGTGCAGCAGCTGGCGGTTTAGCGATTCTATTTCATGCGTCCTTTCCCACCCCAACTCCCTACTTCTTTCCAGCCATTGCATTTTCAGCCACGGACGCAAGCGTACTGATCCACCTTCCGCTTGAAACAGATTCACCTCCATGGCCACGACTTTGCCATCCTACAACAGGCTGAGAACCAAAAGCTTAGTTATGGCAATCTTAACCTCAAGTTTGACAACCCGCCGCGTCGCGATGTTGTTCTGCTGCCGAGAAACGGCTTCATTGTCATCGCCTTCAAAACTGACAGCCCCGGCTCTTGGCTCATGCACTGCCACATTGCCCAGCATGCCGCAGAGGGTCTGGCTGGCTATGCAGATAATGGAGCGCCAGCAGGCTGCTGACGAGATCTGGCCGTGGGCGACTTCCGAAGCGCAATGTGAGCAACCCCATCTACAAATTTCAGCGTGGGACTGTGTCGATAGTACGTATATACGTATACCTTGGGGCTATCTATGTATATGTGCTGGGTTCTTTCGGATTACGGTAGTTTGTAAACTCTTATGGCTGGACTGGTGCCGCTTGACGCTGAGGGGTGCTGCGCTCGGCCTTAGTCATAGAGGTAGGATGAGGCCTGGACGCTGCCCCAACGCTGTATCAATATGTTTCCATTCTTTATCCATCACTTCATCAAAAAGTGTGCGTCTGTGGTGCACATTCCCCTATCCCCATGGTCCCTTGTGCCCCTTCATCTACTCAGAACCCCTGCTTCTCAACCTGCGCCTGTGCAGCGGCAATTGTAGCGGCGGCGTTGGGGTCGACAAAGTTGCAGCCGTTCTTTCCGTTCTGGAAGGCAGCGGCCTCGGCCGAGCAGACGCCGACGTTGCTGGCGTTGGCGCAGCATCCCGACGCGCAATCGGCGTTGTTGACGCAGCCGCCCGTGATGAACTGGGCGCCGTTGCCGCTGCCGACGTTGCGGGCGCCAGCGAGGTTGGGTGTGATTTGGGCGAGGGTGAGGGTGGTGACTGGGAGTTTGTTAGTTGCACTGTTTGAAATGGATGCTATTGTCGGGGGATGATGTAGCAGAGGAAGCAATAGGGACAACACTTACATGCCAGCATGGCGACGAGGGTGATGCGGACCATTTTGGAATATGCTGAGATCAGTGGTATTAAATATTGATATGTGGTATAACAGTAAACAGACGACACCGGGTCGTATTAGAAGAGAATTATACTGGACAAAGACGAGAAGGTTGAGAAACGAAGATGGAACGTTAACGCCATCGCCAGACCCGGGTGCACGCGTTCCCTTTTGTACAAGAGGCCAGCTCACCGAAAGGGACAACTGCCGATCGTCCACCTTTTCCCCTTGACGATCCCTTCCGCAACAATCCAGGAGAGATACATGGCCAAACAATTAGCATATAGGCTGAGGAAGAAGGGCGACAGAGCCCGACGGAGATCATTCGCGCCAAGAACCAAGCCCCACGTGAAGAGATGCGGTGAGCGTCCTCGACGATTAACTAGGTACAAGCCCAACATTTAATATACTGTGGAAAGGGCTTTGACGTTGGCTTGTGGAAGACCAATGGACAAACTCCCGTGTCGTTGTTACACGGCAGGTTCGTTTGATCGGCCCCTAACCCCTGAATCCGAGCTGCCTGCCCCTGTCGCTCCCGTCTTGGCGCAACGACACCACTGCAACTGGCACGGCTTGGCGCGATGCACGTCAACATGGTAGATTTTTGCAACGCATTTTGCGAGATCTGCTGCGTTGGCGAGTCAGGTGTGGGTTTTTTGGTTATGCAGACTTGATAGACGGAGAACTTGACCGTTGAAGATGCAATGCCAGGATGGAAAGAATTGCCGAACAGCAACACTGGATGATAGCCCCTTTTTATCGGGCTGGGGCGGGTTATAGGTGTAGGTCACTCCTGTTGGGACCAAAATTGCAGTGCTGTCCAAATCGAGAAACTCGCTGGAACAAGAAATAATAGTCGTGCATCCCTAAAAGGGTTAGGGTTATAGGTGACAGAAAAATATAGTATTATAGCTTTTAGTTCCGTTACCGGGGGGGGTGCACGACTATCATTTCTTAACAAATATGACAAAGAATCTTGGGAAGCGGAATATGAAGAGAACCAGCGCGACCGTGACTTCCAATGGAGGGAGAAGGACCCGGAATACATTCGTCAACAACGGGAGATAGAGCTTCAGACTTGAAAGGACAAGATTAAAATCCGGACTTCTTGTTCCTTTAGTTTTCGTTCCATGGGTATCATGACAATTCCTAATCAACTTTTACATTCTTCTCTTTAACGTCCTCTAACATTCTCATAGCTCGCCGCAGACCACCGCCGCCGCCGCTACCGCGGTCAGCTGCTTTCTGACCGATTCATGAGCCGGTACAACACGATCCTTATGGACATCTCATAGAAATTCGGAATCGTATCCAGTGCCGATATTCACCCTCGAGACTTTGAGGGCTGATATCCAAAGAACGTGATATAACCCATATATTGTTTTAAAGACGCAGGGACTGTGACAGTTGCTCAGAAGCCTGCCAACGAAATCCCCGACTTGGTGTGGTATATGACATGAGGCGATCTCTTCTAAACCGAGACCGTCAAGGTTTTATTCACACCTAACGGCATGAGAAGTCTGATTCCAACGATCCTGGTCTTCCCTGTCAAACTCAAGCTTGGCGTCTTTCTAGTTGTGATCGCCTTGCAAATTCTGGATTATCCCACATGATACTACCTAATAATCTTGTATTTTTCCGTCACTTGGCCTGCCTGTTGTTGCGCTATTGCGCGCCGCAACCATCCCGCTCCTTTCCAACGATGCATGGAAGATGTTCTTTAGACCTGTTCTTACCACCACCGTCACCACCACCGCAGACCACCACGCCGCGTGACAAGGAGCATGACGACCATCAAACCCGATGTTCTTCGTGACCGGCCGCCCATAGCAGGGGGCGGAACACGATTCCCCGAGCGTACCGTGTACGAAGACAGAGTTCCAATTTATTCTTTAGCTTCCTCCACGGCATCCAACAGATGCTGCCGGGGGGAAATCCTTGATAATATTCATTGTCAAACCTCCACATATATGCCCGCTTCCTGAGAAATCTGGCGGAAACTGGACCGCACCACCTTGTTGCTGTTGTGTCCAGCCAATAAACTAGCGCCTGCAGGTACTGGCTATATTATAAGAAACTGGAATTTAATTTAAAAACGAAGCTGTATAAAAAAAAGACGGTTCGTATGTCCAGATAGACTAGATGAAAAACGGCTAAGCCCGGACTCGAACCGGGGTCGTGCTCTATTGTTTCGTACACTCCGTATCAAGTGTAAGGCACTGGTGCGAGCCTGTAGTACTACTCTACCACACAACCATTTTTCTTTCAAGCTATATATAGCTGTCGTTAAGATCATACCAGGACCTAGCCGTATCTAAAACGGAGGTACACTCAATTGTGATATAGCTGGTGCCGGCACGTGATGGACATTGAGGCAGTTCGCATCCTCCCAAGCCCAGCCGCAAGAACAGGCACACAGCGTCCTATATATCCTCAATCCTTGTCCATTCTTAACCCATTAACACTCTGTGCCACTCCATACTAAATAATACACCTCCATCCCAGGACAGGACAGGAACACCCGTCAATACCTACCTCCTCAAGCCAACCAAAACAAAACAATCACCGCCCCAAATTCCCAACAACACTCCCAACCATAACCGCCACCTCTCTCTCCCACATCTTCCCTGCTGCCTCACCCCCATTCCCCCCTCTCACCCCCCAGCCGTAGCCGTCTTGCCCTTATTCCCAGCACTAGCCCCAGGCAACCCGCTCCCCCTAACCACACACTCCCTAATCGCCTCGCCCACACTCTGCCGATTACTCCTCAACGTCCTCGCCGCGACTCCCCCCTTGCCCACAATTTCCTGCACCCTCACCGCCAAGCTACTCGCCATAGTCCGCCAGAAATAACTCGCCAGCGACCCCGTCTCCAGATACGCCAGCAGCGGCTGCAGCAAATTCCCCTTGCCCGCACCACCCACGCCCTGCACACCACCAGCAGCAGTCACAGCAGGCGCCCTCGTCCCCTCCAACACCGCCTCCAGCGCCACCACATTCTGACACCTCGCACTAACCTCAGCCAGCGTCCTCTCCAGACTCGGCAGCGCGCCTAGCGCCCGCGACAGGCCCGCAATGCTGCTCTGCAGCGCCGAGCGCAGATAGACCTCGAGCGCCTGCAGCATGAGGGTGGGTGCCCACTTCTCGCCCTTGGCCAGGTTCGTCGTCGGCGACAAGAGGTACAGGGTCGTCAGCCCCGAGACCGTCCGCGCGCGCGTCTCCTCCGACTGGGCAAACGTCGCCGTCGCAGTGGCCGAGCCCATGGAAAACTCGCGTATGATGCGCTCCGCCGTCTCGCGCACGGAGCGCTCAATCGGCGCAATCACCGTGTCGCGCAGCGCGCGGATCGTCGTCACCCTCTCTAGGCCATATGATTCCGACGTGGGGTTGGCGGTCGCGACAGGCGAGAGCAGCTCGCGCAGGGCGAGCAGCGTGTGCGTGCACCGCACCAGCGCGCGATGGTCTTCCTTGCCCCTCGAGGACGATGCGCTTGTGGTGGTGGAAGGCGCCGGCACCAGCTCAGCATGCTGCACCTCCAGCTGCCTGCCCAGCTGCAGCGCCCTGCCGACCGCGCGACCCAGCCGTAACGTCTCCCACAGCCGCGACGCAACGGACCGGACCTCCTCGGCTTCGGCGTGCTTCTGGATGACCTCCTTCTGGAGCTGTTTGTAGGAGTCGTTGAGGGCCTTGATCTGGGTGTCGACGTCGGCGACGATGCGGGCGCTGGCGTCGGTCTGGTCGGCGGTGTGGGCGAGTAATGGCACGGCCTGGCGGGTGGTCAGAACGTCGATGTGGGAGTCGATCTCTTGGATGTCGAAGAGGACGCGGGATAGCGGGGTGGAGAGGTCGAGGGGGCTGTCGTTGGCGTTGTTGGTCGCGAGCACGAGCGTGTTGGCGAACGAGGACGCGCTGAAGGACGGGTCGAGGAAGGTCTCGTAGTCGATGTACGACGGCTCGTCGTCGACGTCGCGGGCGCCGCGGGGGGCGGTCATGGTGTTGGGAATTGCAGTGGCTGTAGTAGTAGTGATTAGGGGCCCATTGATTGGGCCAACTGTCGTTGTCGTGGGTTGCCCGCTGCTTGCTGCTGCTGCCAAGACTGGGACATGGCTAGTGTGGCAAGCTAGCTCCCCGGTCGCTGGTGGAGCTGTGCTGCAGGCAGGGGTTCACAGGGCTTGGTGGTACAGCACATGTACCTAGCTCTTCGGCGCCCTCGGCCCCACAGTTGGTGGCTCTTAGCTTGACGGTGAGGTCATCGTTGAACTTCAAGCGTGGCGGTGTTTTCTGATATGAAATTATAGATGAAATAAAAATGATTGAATTGTGTGCAACAGCTTGGCCGGCGACTATTGCCTCCAAAACAGGTTACAAGAAGCATTCCGAGCGCGGCCGAACGGCAGCCTCGTCGCGGTGTTATCCCCTGTTAAGTCGACGCCACAAGGACTCGACGGACCCTGGTGGCGTGGCTGACTGGTGATTTAAATACCCCACCCTTGAGTGATTAAACGTTTGCATGCCAAGACAACCAGCTCGCAGAACCCACCGCCATCCCCATCGCAGTAAATACAATACACTAGAATACAGGCCGCCGTTGACGACAACATCAACTGCCAGTTGCAGCGTGGCCAGTGCCAGCACGCTCTGCCCAGTCCACCAATTTCATCAACGACTGAGGTCGCGTCAATTTGTTTAATTTTATTCTTGAGTTTTCTTATCAACTTGGATCGACCATCTTCAGTCCCATCGCGATCCCCGTCGCAAATCGCATCCATCCCGGGCGATCCGTCAATTGTCAAAACAACAATATCCCTCGGATATCGACGACATCGATGCACCCCCGACCAACGCGGTAGCGACGCCACCAAGATGGACAACGCCGCTGGCTACACAAACTTCACCAACCTCAACCACCTCAACCAGTCGACGCTCAACTTCTGGAACTACACCGTCTACTCCAACCAGACGCTGTCCAACGGCACCTGGTGCATGCTCGCCTTCCCGCCCTACATCCCGCCCGCCGTCCTCCCCAATGGCACATTCATCAACGAGACCGTCTGCTGGCACCCCGTTTACCCCATCGGGGCCCGCGCCGGCACCGGCCTGGGCTTTGGCGTGCTCTTCGGCATCGCCCTCGTCCTGACCCTGATCGTCCTCAAGAAGCATGGCCAGCTCTTCCTGCCCGCCGAGCGCCGCTTCTTCCCCATCGGCCGGAGATGGCAGTTCTACTGGGCCTGCTTCACCTGCGCCATCGCCCTGATCAGTCTCTTCACCAACATCGACGTCGACCGATACTACCTTCCCGAATTACCCATCGTCCTGACCTGCTTCTTCTGGTTCATCATGGAGATGGGCGCCATGGCGATTGTGTGGGAGGCGGTGCGCCACTGGGGGAGTTGGATGGAGCGCCAGTTCATCGACCCGAACCCTTTTGTCCTCAAACTCGACGACCGCAGAGCAAAGATTGAGTTTTGGATGCCGCTATTCTTTTATTTTTGGCTGTGGATGGTAACTCGCTCCTTCGTTTTTCTCCCCTCCCGGCAACGCCACCCCTTAAACTCTCTATCAAACTAACATGCACCCCCCCCCCCCCCCCCCACACACAGAACTTCTTCCTGGTTGTCCCCCGCTCCTGGACAAACATCGAAATGCAGCGCTACCCCCAGCAAACCAACGACCTCGCCATCCCCACCGCCACCGACGGCCGCTTCAAAGCCGCCGCCTTCTGCCTCGTCGTCTGCTGGCTGACCATCAGCTTCTCCCTCTGGCACTCCATCAAGCACTACTGCCCCCACAACCGCGGCCTGATCAACCGCACCATCGGCTTCCTCCGCTTCACCCCGACCCGCTTCATCCTCCTCATGCCCCTCTCCCTCGCCATGGTCGCCTACCAGGCCCTCTGCGCCTGGGAGTTTGCCTGGAGCCCCCTCAACGTCAAAGGCCTCGTCGCCGCAATCTACGCCGGAGGCTACGCGCCCGCCCTGCTCATCATCCTCATCCAGGCCCTCTTCGGCTTCATCAATCCCAACGAGGATCGCGAGCTGCAGCGCCAGCGCCGCGTCAGGGGCGACCAGATCAACCAGGCCATGGGCATCCAGAAGAAGCCCGCCTGGTGGCACCGCCTGAATGGCGACAATGTCGCCAACGAGAGCATGCGCGACCGCATCGCGCGCAACGTGCGCGAGCTCGGCGGCGGCAAGGCCACGGCGAGTAATCTAGAGGCAGCCATCGCCGCGCGCGGCGCCGAGGCCGAGCTCACGCGGACAGCACAGCAACAAAGCGCCGCAGAGGACGACGTCGAGATGAGCTCCATCCGCGTCTCCCCCCACCAGACCGTCGACATGCTCGGCCCCGTCGTGCCAGGCGACTTCGCCGCCGCCCGCGCCGTGGCCAGCCGCTACGAGGGCAAGTCGGACCGCCGGAGGACGGAGCACCAGGTGCAGGTTGCCGCGGGACTGTTATTCCCCAACTCAGATGCCAGCGCTGCTGCGACGGCGGCAAGCAGACGGGCCGAGCTGATGATGGACGGGCCGCCGCCGCCGCCATATGCTGCTGCTGCTGCTGCTGCTGCCGCGGACGTCAACAACACTGGTGGCAGAGGGAGGGGCAGACGGGCGTCGGTGACTTCGGGCATGACGGATGGGTCGAGGACGCTGATGGACAGGAGTGTCAGTACCGATACGTCGAATACGCTTGGCGCCCCGCCGCAGACGATACGGAGTATGTTGGATGTGTAATATGGAAGAACTGCCAGCTACTCACCACTCGCTTTATTGGATATTTGGATACCTACCTACCTATCATGGACATAGTTGGAATTGTTTTGCACTGATGTTTATGGGCATCTACAAGGCGTTATTTATTGGGATGGCGTGCGGGCGGTTGGTTTTGGGCATTTTGATTTAGTTGACTCGAAAAAGAGGCTTGCTTTTTTTAAACCCCTTTTCTAGTTCAGACTGTTTTGTTTGTCAGTCTTTTACTGCCACAGTACACATTACGCACTATGGTTGGACGTATACAGATACGCTCATGTTTGTCTGATAGATCAATGAGGATTTGAGAAGTTTCTCCATCTTAGTGTACGTATAATGCTGACTCCGCGTGGTGAATGATATGGACCAGATGTTTATCATCATGGAACTAAGTATCCATGTTTCTCGACCGTCTTTTTCTCCGCCCCCCTCATCATGGAGATCACTCTCGTACTGAGTATGGTAAAGCAACTGTGTCAGGCTACTTTTTGTCAGGCACAAAAGTAGCCT